GAATTTTATCGCGACAAAAAGGTAACGGTTTATAAACTTTTACTCTCTCTCTCTCTCTCTCTCTCTCTCTCTCTCTCTCCCTCTCCCTCTCTCTCGCTCTCTCCAATAAAGAAATCGTTTGGTTCGAATTTTTCAGTCCCAAACATGAACAATTGCTCTTCTTCAACCAAAAGTGAAATATTTGTCTTGAGGGATAGGTGATTCACATCAAAAAGTGTTCTTTCTGGAAAAAAATATGTATAATAGAGGAAAATTTACCAAGGAATTCATTGTCCTTAAGTTCTAAGAACGTTGTCGTAAAACATTATTATTTCAATTAAGAATTCATTCATTTTTCCGGCCATTATCGAATTGTCAATAAAATGAACATTTTTCAAGAGCAAAAAAAGTGTGGGAGGGTCGCTCAAAGAGAAAATGCTAGAAATAATATTGCTCCCAATAGATTAACTAGTTCCAAAGTTTTTGGAATAGTCAGGCCAAAAACAATCAGTAAATCTATTTTTGCAATACAAATTCCCTATCCGCACGTATGCTTCACATATTTCACGATAATAATTGAAAAGAATTATTTTTTTTACGATGACTAAGATTCAATAAAAAACTCTTTTTTTTATTTATACTTGTGTACAATATCCAGAACATGAAAATTAATCTTCAGTTCAACCATATTCCATACTAATTTTCCTTCTTTTTCTGCAGATTTCATGGACTCATAAAGAGTCTCATGATCGTGGTGATGAGCCCTCCACAGCTATGGCCCAGCAAAAATCTTGGGTTCCTTCAGCATCAGCAAAGAATCGCAGTATTTCAAGTTCTCAACAAATTCAGACACCGAAGAAACGGGAAGGAACTAATGATATAATTGAAAAGTTCATTTATCGTATCAGCGAGGAAGAACAGATGAAAATTGTTGAAGCTTTTGGGAAAATGTTATATTTCTGCAACATTCCCCTGGACGTCGTCGCGTCGAGTTACTTCACCCAATTCACTAAAATGTTACGACCTACTTGGAAGGCTCCAGCGCTTGAAATCGTTGAGAGTAGTCTGCTCCAGATTGTCTACGAGTCAGTGGAGTCTCTGCACCAGAAACTCACTTGTTCAGAGTGCATATTGATGTTGCTGAAATCCACAGGCGATTCTGAGCAGTCTGACCAACTATTGGCGATTCTTGAGACCCCGAAAAAAGAACAGATGTTTATCAAATCATGGGAAGTTTGGGATGAGTCAGATGCTCAGTGACTTTCGACACAAAAGACTGAAATCACTTGCGAGGCGAAGGAACTGATTGAGGACAAATATAAAATGAAAGTTCACTCCATTGTGCTACAAAATAAAGAATGATTGTTGATTTGGACAGGATCGACGGGGTGTGGTACTTCATCTCGTAAAATTCCTGGGTGGAGGCATTATCAGTAGCAATTGAAGACTCATTACTGTCAGACGAGTTGAACGAATTGTGGATCGAATTGGATAAGCAGGCTGTCGTGAATTTATTCGAAGAAGATGGCAAATCTGAATCTGAATCTGATGGAAGTTGATGATGCCTCCCCGACTTCAATCAAGTAGTTTTCTCAGGCAAAAAATGGAAATGTACTCTTCGCTCACTGAGCATATGGCAGTATTGAAGCAATTTGTTGGAGATGGAAGAACTCAATTGAAAGGGAAAGTTAAACTGCTCTTTGATTCTCGTTTTAGAGAAAATGTACGATTATCTTTGGAGCAGATGAAAGCTTTGGCATCGATTTCTGAGAAATTTGAGAACCCACATACTAATCTTGCTGATATTGTCGAGGATTGGTTGCTCTTTGAGAGTAATTTCCAGTTGGAGATCAGTTGAATTGAGGAGCTGCTTACTGCAGAGCTGCTTACTGTAAACTTTTTTCACCACAAATATCGTGGACACCTTTTCGTGAATAACCGTCTCAGAATGCAAAAGATGCAACGTTCTCTTCTGGAGGTGCTGGAGGAGGAAGGGTTGGAGAGTTACGAGCAGTACAAAAGTAATATTGACGTGTTTAATGATTTATCAAAATAGAAAATCCAATCATCTTCACTATTCTTGAGATTCGCTGAATCAAGTCATCCTTAATTGGCAAGAATGGTCCTGAAATTGATCCAGGTTCCTGTGAAAATCAACAAGATTCATATGATTGAAATCCCTCCTAACAATCTTACCCCAATTCGTCAGCAAAAACTCACAGAGATCCATTACCAACTGAAGATTCGCGATAAGAAAACGAATCTGTGATAGTATTCATGCACTATTGATGTTTAGAGAACATTATTAGTCATGAAAACAAAGGTAAATAAAGTTCTCCGCTGATGGTAAAGTTCAAAAAACTTACGGAAGAGTCTATTTGAATGTTATTAAAACGTAATTTTTTATAGGCTGTAGAACAGGTTTCGTTACGACGACCAGCAGTCGAAAAATGGCAATGCTCCGATTACTTGTTTTGTTGTCCACTTGACACATTTTTTTGTTCTATTTTTACTATTTGTTTAAGGACAGACCATCTGTTACAGATTTATATTCTGAGTAGACTTCGTCGACGTCAAGTGTAGTGGTTATGACTCGTCACTCTCGTAACTTACGAGAATCTTATTGAAAAAATAAATACGTTCATTCACGTGAGATATTTTATTGTTAGACGATAAGTGTTGATATACATTTATAAATGTATTTCCAAAGAGTTGAAATAAAAGTTCATTGAAATTCGAGTTTTTAAACTAAACTGTTCAATCTTCCTCCCACATCGAATCATCAATTTTTTCCCAAGAAGTATCTCGCATTTTGAATGCATAGAAGATCGAAACTGACTTCATAGAGCGTTCAACGCTTAGACGATTTCGAAGATCTGAATGAATAAATGCCCAATTTGAAAAAACTCGTTCGATCTGCGCCGTAGAACTCGGGATGCTAGATAACTTCTTCGCCAAACCAGATAACGTTGGATAGTCGACTTCTGCCATACACCAAAAAGCTTCAGGGGATTTTATTTTTTTGCTAAACAATTTTTCGAAAATTCCTTTTCCCTCTGCATATTCTCTCAAACTTTTCCATTCGCAAGGATCTTCACCAACCAATTCCTCACGTAAAAACGTGAGAACTGCGCTGTTGAAAGACTGAATGTGAGCAAATTGTTTCCCTCGATATTCTGGATGTACATAATTTGCTGTCAGAGCAATAGGTTGTAGAAGCTTCGTCAATCGATTCTCCAGGGTTTGATCGACTGAATCAATGTCTGTTGCTATATTCAGAGTAATCCAAAGCTCAGTGCCTTCTGCAAGTCGAGTTTCTGTCCTTTGGCATTTATTCAACAACTCACAAACTGGATCAAAAAGTGTTAGATAATCTTGTAATCGTTGTTCGAGAGTGATGTCCTTCAAAAGTTCCAAATTTTCCGCTTTCAATGTAAGCTCCCCTTCCTCCACGATTTCTCTCAAGATGTCAAGATTTCTCAGACAGCAACAGAACGTATCCCGGTAGGTACACCACCTCGTTTCACAAGCGAGCATGATCCTCGTTCCTCCACGTTTTTTCAACTCCCTCTCCCCTCGAGGATTTTTAAATTCTCTCAATAACTTGTTGATACACTCAACAAGGTGAGGATTTGCAAGAGATTTCAACCATAAATTACCACTATGAGAAAGACAGGTATGCCAAACACTCACGAGTTTACCCATACGCATCATAGCCGATGCATTGTCCGATACGACTCCATAAATATTCATCTTAAATCTGGCTTTTGACATGGAGACGGCTTCATCAATGACATTGGCTAACTGGTCACCAGTTTCTCGAAGCTCTGTAAAATCCCAAGAATTCAGAAAAATGCTCCTTTTATCTTTAGTATAGATGGTGCAAACCACATTCTTGGTGTTGGCTAAGGAATTTTTCCAGCCGTCTATGGGTAAAACACCATCTGTCTCTTCGGTGTATTCGAGTTGTTGAATTAATTTCTGATGGATTTGATCAAGTAACTTGGTCGAGAGCTTTTTTCTCGATGGGATTAAATATGAGGAATTGAGAAGCTTGATGAATTTCTTGAACTCTGATTCCACTACGTTAAAAGGTATATTACAACCGAAGAAGAACTCCGCCAAAGCCTCATCAATCCTGGAGTTATTTGTATGCTAGAAAAATAACCTCAATAGTAAATAATCACTAAAGTATTAAATTAACTCATCTGTATTATTTATACTTACCTCAGGAGTGGATTTTCGATGAGCATTACGCATCTTGGAGCGTTTCTTGATGAAGTAGACTTTAGAATTAATACTTCACTGCACACAATATTTAAGTTATGATTTATTTTGGTTTATTTATTCATTAAATGATGTTATTACAATTAAAACATCAATTTGCATGAATTAATCAAACTCACTTACTTAGACACTGCTTGTTATAAGTTAGAGAGTTTTGTACCTTTTTTTACCTTTCGGAGGTAAATTACCATTTTTATACCATGTATAGGTAAAAAACCCACATTTGCCACGGATGCCCAATCCTGCCTGACACTCACCGTATCTACCTTGGATACCCTGGAGTGGCAGGGTAGAGACCAGGGAGTCCATTCTCGAGTCGGTGAGCTGCTCAGCGTATACACTCGTCTCATCTACACAACACGGGCCAAATTAACTCCCAGTCGTGGAGGATCGTTTGAACCACGGCAGAGAGCGGTTCTCTTCGAAAGTCATAGGGAACGATAAAACGGTTAATTAAACGTTGAAAGCGTTTTAAGAGGCAGAAAAACGAAAATAGCAGCAGAGAAATTCCGGGGAGCACAAACGTCGACAGTCATTTGAGGAAATCAACATCATCCAGAATTCATCAGGTGTGCTGTCTTAATTGGTACCATTATTTGTTTATCGAATTTTAAAACATTGGCAATATTCTTGAGTCATTATTCAAACTGTTTTGAGTGTTTTGATCATTTATTCAATATTTGATTCGGTGAATCATTTGAATGGACAAGAAAATCGCTATTTAAATTCAAAAGGACGATTTTTGAGTTTGAACAAGTGAGAAATGAATATTTAATTACAATTATTTTAATTAAAAACTCGGTCGTTGGCTTTTTGATTCTATAATCGAAAACGGTCTATCTATCCTAAATACGGGAGAAAGAACTAGGTTTCACACAGAAGGGAAAATAAGCTATCCAGATGTAACAATCATATCTCCAGATTTGATATTATCTAGATCCTGGGAAACATCCCACGACTACATAGAACCACTGAAATATACTATACAGGGTGTCCCGCATCCGACCTTTGCCCTTCGAGGGTATTGAAGAGGGTGCTTTTTGAAGTAGAAAGTTCCTCTTCCATTTTTGGATCCTATTATTTTTTTTACGATCCGACTTTTTTTTTGATTGAACTACTAATTTCAGAGGCGAATATTTTTTTTACAATTGTTAAAATTTTTGTTTTGTTTTTTTTTATGCAGCATGACCCTGAAACTGATAGACGATGGAACACTACTTATAGCACGGAATGTACTTGTGAAAAAAATTAGTATGATCCACAATTACTTCTGATTATTCTTGATTTTTACATTTATTATGTTTATATACTTATGATAATAATTTATTATATTTATAATAATTTGAAATTTATTTATTTTATTTTATTTATTATGATTTTTTCTTATAATTGAATCTTGCATTTTTTACATACAGCACAGAGGCATGCACTGAGGGGTGGGTTGAAATTCGAACGAAAAAGGGGGGAGGGTTGCGGAACGAGTCTGAGCCCAAATCATACCTCCAAAAGGGGGGTGAGTATTTTTTTTTTTTTCAATTTTTTCCTCTCACGTCGCACAGATTGAGGTAAATTGAACATTTGTGAGGGGCTGGAAGCCACCCCTACACATATCGGGGAGATTAAAATTTTCACACAGTGAGGGGAGGGGGTTGAGAAATGAGTCTGAGCTCAAATCATGTGTCCAAAAGGGGGGTGAGTATTTGTTTTCGCTTTTTGCTCTCAGTTCGCACGGATTAGGGAAAATTGGATATTTCGAGGGGGTGGAAGCCACCCCCGTACTTATCGGGGAGGTCAAAATTCTCATGCAGTAAGGGGAGGGGGTTGAGGAACGATTCAGGGCCCAAATCATGTATCCAAAAGGGGGGCGAGTATTTTTTTTTTTCAATTTTTTGTTCTCACTCCGAACGTATTGAGGTAAATGAAACATTTGTGAGGAGGTGGGAGCCACCCCCACACGTATCGAGGAGGTTAAAATTTTCACACAGTGAGGGAAGGGGGTTGAGAAATGAGTCCGAGCTCAAATCATGTGTCTAAAAGTGGGGTGAGTATTTTTTTTTTCACTTTTTGCTCTCAGTTCGTATGGATTAGGGAAACTTCGACATTTCGAGGGGGTGGAACCACCCCAGTTCAAATCGGGGAGGTTGAAAATTTGACGAAAGGAGGGATGGCGGTTGAGGAACGAGTCTGAGCCCAAATCATTTATCCAAAAGGGGGGGGGGATATTTAAAAAAAAACCTTATTTTTGCTCTCACCTGAGACTTTGAGGTCTCCCTTGTGGCACTACGTGCATGCGAGCATCGACAGTCTGATGGAACACACCTGATTTCGGATGTCGTCGATTGATCCATCTATCGCGGTGCCTTCGCGCTGCCTCTGCTGCAGTACACTTGAATTCCCCATAAATTAGATTCATATGATCGTGTGCAGTCACTCTGTAATTCTTCATTTTTCATTTTACGCCAAATTCCGATAAATATCAAACATGGATAACTTTCCCTCATAAAATAAAAATATTTACCTATTATTTCTCGATTTTTAGTGGAAGAACCTTCCTATATCTTGAATGTTGACATTGAAGGGAAATAAGAGACGATGTAAATAACACGACTCATTCAAACAAAATTCTATGTTATTACGTATTTTTATCATCTCTCGTCCTCTGTTTATGTCAACACTGGAATTCCTGGAAGTTCCTTCAGTGATAAATAAGGAAAATAAGAGGTAAATTTTGTGTTTCGGGGTGGGAGAGTCAGTCGTGTTTGATTCTTTTCCGGAGTCAGACGTGAAGTGAAAATTATGGTGAATTTCATAGCGAACGAATACGCTGATATGCACCTTATTTATGGTGCATGCCGGTGTCATGCAGTCAAGTCAGTGCGAATGTATGGCATTACATACCCAAATCGACAACACTCGACTCCACAAGTGTTCCGGGATGTGGACTCTCGCATGCGAGAGAATGTGGTTATGCCACCAGGTCACGGTGGGGGATGTCAATGTCAGGAATAGTGGGTGATCGGGTGTTTTTCTTGCAACTTCCAGATTATATGAATGTAAGTATTGAGTGTACAATAAGGCGTGTCAAATTACAGCCCTATACTTTTTTTTTATCGTCCCCGAAAAAGTGTTAGCGTATAAAAAGACATTCAAGATGACGAAATATGTTTGTTGAACTCTCATCTCTCCGCATGCATGCATTTTTTCAAAAAAAAAAATTTTAATTAAAATAAATAATTCCGAAAATTGGGATTTGCGAGGCGAGGGGAGGGGAGAGGCATGAAAACGAAGGGTTGCAAATTTTACCCGCCAAGGGGAGGGGGTCCCTGACCCTATCTGAACCCTCCCCATCCCTCCATTCACATGCGTTAATTCAAGAAAAAATAAAATTGTTGATTAAAAAATGAAAATTTCGAAAATTGAAATTTCACGAGGCGTTGGAGGAGGTAGGCATGAAAACGGAGGGTTGCAAATTTTACCCAGTAAGGGGAGGGGGTTCCAGAATCTTTCTGCGCCGCCCCCAGCCCCCCGTTTACATGCGTTAATTGAATAAAAAATGAAATTGTTGATTAAAAAATGAAATTTTAGAAAATTGACATTTTACGAGGGGCTGGAAGGTGTAGGCGCGATAACAGGTTTCAAATTTTACCCGGCCACGAAAGGGGGTCCCAGAATCTATCTGAGCAATTCTCATCCATCCGTTCGCACGCGTTAATCAAATAAAAAATAAAATTTTTGAATTAATTTTGACTATTCCTTGTTTTTTTATTTTAAATAAAGCATGTAGAGGGGGGAGGAAGGTGGCTAAAATAGATTCTGGAACCTTCATTCCTTGTTGGGTAGAATTTACGACCCTCCGTTATCATGCCTACCCCCTCCACCCACTTGTGAAATCTCGAAATTCGAAATTTTCATTCTTTATTTAAAAATTTTATTTTTTATTCTATCAACGCATATAAACGGAGGAGTTGGGGTACCTGAGATAGATTCTGTGACCCCCTCCCCTTGCTGGGTAAAATTTTTACTCCACCCTATCGTGAAATCTCAAAATTTCAAATTTTAATTTTTCAATCATCAATTTTATTTTTTATCCAATCAACGCATGTGAACGGAGAGGTTGGGGTAACTCAAATAGATTCTTTGATGCCCTCCCCTTGTCAGGTAAAAATTACAACCCTCCGTTATCATGCCTCCCCCTCCCAACTCCTCGCAAAGTCTAAATTTTCTGACATTTTTATTGTTCATTTAACAATTTAATTTTTTATCAAATTCTTCAATTAACGCTTGTAAACGGAGCGATGAGGGTAGCTCAGGTAGGTTCTGGGACCCCCTCCCGTTGCTAGGTCAAATTTGCAACCCTCCGTTTTCATTCCTACCCCCTGTACCTCCTCGTGAAATCTCAAACTTGGAAATTTTTATTCTTTATTCAACAATTTCATTTTTTATTCAATTAACACATGTAAACGGAGGGACGAGGGTGGCTCAGATAGGTTCTGGGACCCTCTCCCGTTGTTGGGCAAAATTTGCGACCCTCCGTTATCATGTCTACCCCCTCCACCCCCTCGTAAAATCTCAATTTTCAAAATTTCGATTTTTTAATCAACAATTTTATTTTTTAACCAATTAACGCATGTAAACGGAGGCCTGGGGCTGGCGGCTTAGAAAGATTCTGAAACTCCCTCCTGTTACAGGGTAAAATTTGCAACCCCCCGTTATCATACTTATCCCTTCCACCCCCTCGAGAAATATATATTTTCTGAGATTTTCATTTTTTATTTAATAATTGCATTCTTTATTTGATTAAGGATGTTTAGTCTAAACCCGCATTATTCACCATAATTTTGATATTGCTTCACATGTCAGGTTCATATTCGAGCTACACGTTAGTAACAATCTTAATCCTTTCATCGGGGCATCCTAATGAGAAATTAATTTCTGAAAATCACTCCTTGTAATATTACGCTTATGGAAGAAAC